ATGGTCAAACTACCAAGGCTATCTCCACTTCTGCAACATACATTGATGATCCTATGGACACCAGTATAAATATGATTCAACAATTGCAACAACAAAATACGGAACTATTAAATGCATTACATCGCCAACAACCAGGATCTAATAATTCGTATCATCAGCGCAATAATTCTCGTAATAATGCCAACAACCGACCACGTTGTTTTGTCTGTGATAAGACAGGTCATTTTGCCCGTGATTGTTATCAAAGTTCCAATACTAGACATAATAATGGTCGTACTAGTTACAATAATAACTACGGTACCACTGGATATAATTATCGTAACAATGAAAATAATATTAATGCTCGTACTTCATATAGTTTTCGCAATAATCATAACAATACTAACTCTAATCAATCCTTTAACGCTATTTTGGATCAATATCACCCATTGCACAATAATAAAGATTTAATTGATCTGACACCTTCTGGTAGTCAAGATCCATCTAGCTATTTGTCTTCTTTATCCGTATGTTCTGCTATGGATTTTCCCGAATGCGATATCTCATTTCTCAATAATCTTCAGAACGCATCACCAACGTTACCGTTGTACCAAGCTATGGTTGGAGGATCACATTTTACAGTACTTATTGATAGTGGTGCAAGCACATGTTATGCTCATCCAAAACGTCTTTCTCATGCACTTGAAATAACTCCAGTTACCAATGAAGCAGTTGAAACGGCGGATGGTAATCAATCTAACATTAACAAAAAGATTCTATTCCAAATGCATCTAGGTGATACGTATGGCCATTCTGAACAAATATCTGCGTTCATTTTTGAATCTAAATTCGATATTATTTTGGGTCGCAATTGGTTAAAGAACAGAAACCCTAAGCCTGATTGGTTTGACGATACGTGGATACTAAAAAGTTCTCAATCGGATAACGATGTTACATTGTACCCTATTAAATTTAAACATAACCTTCACACCACTATTTTAACTGCTAACCAAACAACTGATGATAATATTGCTATTTCTCAACAATTATTTGTCCCAATCAAGCACGACATACTTGCAGTCACCGATACAGCCACATCGATAGATTATCTACTGTCTGCGAATCAAGTTTCTAGATTACTTAAGAAGAATGAAATCGAAGAATGTCACATGTTATATTTTATGCATGATGAGACGGGTAATAGCATGTTAATGACTCCAAGTGACAATGCATCTATTGATTTAGGAACGGATAAACTATGGAAAGCTGAATTTGCAAAATTATATCCATTTGCTTTCAAAGGCGACATTACCGAACTTCCACCACATCGATTCACCCGTGATATTATTCAAACTAACCCACCCGATGCTGCACCTATTTATCACCACCCATATCAAATGAGTCCAATCGAATTAGCTGAACCACAAAGAATACTAGCCGATTTAGAAAAGAAGGGTCTAATTGTCCCTACCACTACACCATATGGTTTCCCAATTTTATTTATTCGCCATAAAACATCAGGTAAACTTCGAATGTGTTGTGATTTTAGGTACTTAAACAAGATTAGTATATCTCAACGAACTCCTATCCCTCGAATCGATGAATGTTTAGATCAACTGCATGGTTCGCGATACTACAGTCAAATTGATTTAACTGGCGCCTTCAACCAAACGAGACTTTCTGAATCTGATTCTGCCAAATGCGTAATCTCTCACCGATATGGACAGCATCGTTTTCTTGTGACACCTTTTGGTTTTAAAAATTCAGGTGCATATTTTCAAGGTATCATTAACGCTACGCTTAAGGAGTATATCGACAAATTCTGTCTCGTATATCTAGACGATATTTTAATTTACAGCAAAACCGAACAGGAACATAAAGAACATGTTAATTTAATTCTCAAAACTTTAAATGATGCCAAATTTATTATTAACATCGAAAAATCCCATTTTAATATCCAAGAACTTACACTTTTAGGTTTTCAAATATCTAAACATGGTATTCTACCTTCCAAACACAAAACTGATGCTACTCGCCAATGGCCTGTTCCAACAAATGTCCAACAAGTTCGGCAATTCTTAGGTTTAGCCCAACATTTTCGCCAATTTATACCAGATTTTGCAGGTATTGCCTCCGTCATAACTGATTTAACTGCCGGCACTGGATATAAAACACGATCCATTATTTGGACGCCTGAATTTCAAAAGGCTTTTGATTTGTTGAAGTATAAATTATGTTCTGCCCCTGTTCTTAATACTGTTAATATGGAGAAACCATTTAGAATTGAATGTGATAGTTCTGATTATTCTGTAGGTGCTGTATTACTTCAACCTGATGATCAGAACAACTGGAAACCGTTAGCATTTCAATCTAAACGCTTGTCAAAAGAAGAGAGAACATTACCCGCGCAAGAAGGTGAGCTGCTAGCCATTTTGATTGCACTAAGGGAATGGAGATGTTTCATCGATGGTAAAAAATATCAAGTCTTTACAGATCATTTACCGTTAAAATATTTTCGTGACCAAAAGAAGCCAGTACCTCGTCTAATCCGTTGGATGTCGGAAATCGAATTATATAATCCTGATATACAATATAAAGCAGGAAAAGACAATCTCATTCCGGATCTACTATCTCGAAGGGATGGCCCTGACTGTACTCCTGCTCTTGAATCATTGGAACCTAAATATTTTTATAACATAACTGTCAACACTAACAACGCAAGCAAAATTTTTAGTAAGCCTATTACTAGTCTCAATGCAGATCCTATTCAGGATTGGCCACTGATTTACTTTCGTGACGAACAAGACTGGCCGGATTTACTAAAAGCCGAATTACGTCAAAAAAAAAGACAAATTTGTTGCTCGCAATCATCATATTTACAGATTGATCAAAGCTCCAAATTCCAAAGAACCCACTGAAGTCAAATTTATTCCTTTTAGTCAACATGCAGATACTGTTGACAATTTTCACAGCACCTTTGGACATTTAAGCCAGCACGCGGTGTATCAACAAATGAAAAGTCGCGTATGGTGGCCTAATAAGCATGATGATATAACAAACTGGTTAAAAAGTTGTCAGCAATGTCAAATGTCACAGCGTGCCGAAAAGAATATTCACCATTCTCCTATGAAACCATTGGATATACCTCCTGCTTTTTCCAGATGGCATTTAGATTTTATTGGTGAATTACCAACCACAAAAAATGGTAGTAGATGGATTTTGGTCGCTGTTGATTATGCTACAAATTGGCCTATTCCACGAGCTTTGAACAATGCTACCGGCGACGAAATTGTCAAATTCATTTATGAAGAAATAGTTTTGAAATTTGGATACCCCGTCAAAATTTTTACCGATCGTGGACAAAACTTTTTATCCAAAGTTTTGAAACAATATATAAACAAGATCCGATCCAAGCATATCTTCACTAGCGCTTATCACCCCCGCAGTAATTCCAAATGCGAACGAGTCAACCACATTATCAAAAGTATGCTCAAAAAATATGTCAACGGCAATGTCCACAGCTGGGACGACTATATTGATACGACAACATTTGCATGCCGTATTCGAAAACACACAACTACCGGCTATAGTCCTTTTTTCTTAGTCTATGGTACTCATTCACGAATTCCTGGTGATTTTAATAAACCATACATGAACGAATTCACCGAATACGATGCTAACTTGATAACTGAAGACGCATTGACTAGAGTCCGTCACTTAAGAGAAGTTAGATTTTTAGCGGAGGAAAATATGAGAAATCAGGGTATTAAAGATAAAGAAAATGGGATAAGTTAATAAAAGGAAAAGAGACTCAGGTATTTCAAATCAATGATTATGTACTACTCCGAAACAAATCCAAACGTGGCCTTGAATACAATTGGATGGGCCCATATCAAATCATCAACATCAACACCGACTTTAATGTATATCAAATCAAAGAAATTGAAGGAAAACTATACAATTCCTGGGTTCATACCGATCGACTTAAACCAATTTCAATTAATCAAGCCAATATCAACAACAATATATCTTCTAGCTGGTATATTCCTCGCATTGCCAGAGCTTAACTTAACCAACATTTTTATCCAAATAACAACTTCTCAACTACGTTACAATACACAACATACTTTGTCTCTATACTTATATTATTTTATCTTATATTTCAATATTTTTTTTATTCTAATTTTTCTTATTTACTTTGTTAGAGACTAACGAAATTTTAAGGAGGGGATATTGTCGTACTATCTTTTGTACTACTTTAAATAATGCAAGGGCCCTCAGAAGCAACAAAATTATTTTTTTAAAGATCCCGATTTAGAACTTTATTATTATTTTTATTTTTTTATTTTTTTTTTGTGAAAGGTTACAATTTTGCCAAATAGATGAATAAAAAATTAAATGGATATATATAGGCGATTAACGATAACATCGAATTTTCTCCAGTGCCAAAATTTTCGAAATATCCCAATAAAGGATTAAAATCCAACGACCCCAGAATCCTTCTATCAGATGAAAAATCAGCCAAATTGGGCTACTGAACTCACCAATGTTTTTGTTTTTTTTTTTTTTGATAAAAGAGTTGTGTTTGTGATCCTCTTCATTTTTCTTTACCAATTCTTAACTATCCAATGTTATTTAACCAAATGCCTTTCCAAAAGTACACTACCATCGTCATATGGGATTCAGCAAGCGCCAACGTTTTTGTTGTGTTTTAAGGTAAAGTAAAATTATAAAAAGACTATAGGAGTAGTTTGAGACTGTTTATAAGATTGTCCTTTATTAATAAATGAAATGTACGAGTATATATATAAAAGACTGTCTGCTGTGTTCATATCTCTAGTGCTATCTTGAAGTTATCATTGATTAACCAAAAATGTATACGATTATTACATAGTCACTAATTTAGTCTTGTTCTAATAAATGTTAAGTTTTCTTAACTCTCTTTGCTTTAAACTAAATTTTAAGTATTTCTCAGACGTACTAAATTAGACTTGTGATGTAATATCCTTATAGTTCTTACTATGACATTTATTGTTAAGCTTATATCACAAATGGTATCAGCATGGATAAACCTTTGTTAGCTCTAATATGGCTATAGCCTTGCTAGGTCACCACAGTTTTGATCGAGTTGTTTTCCGATTACGTTGTAAACGTGGGTGTTATTCGCTCACCTCAAGCAAAGCTGAATTTGAACAAGGCAACGGAAGATGCTTTTAATGCCAGTGACGCTATCAACGGTAGAAGGGACTTTGCAGCGATGAAGAACAAGTGGATTCGCCTCTGTGACACGTTCAGAACCAGACGAGACGATGCTAATTCTACTGGTAGTGCACCTCTTCAACACTGGGAGTTTCACGATCTGATGGAACAGGCAACATCGGGAATGCAATAAAACTGTAGTGGAGACTTTGTTGTCGGTAAAGTGTAGAAATGTCTGATTCCATAATCATATTTATATCATCATCAAGTCCAAATAAAATTTATTGCGATTCAGCAACTACTGTAACAATTTGAGATAGGTTCATTTTGTTTTCTCTAGAAATAAAAAGTATATCGAAACAATAGAGTCCTTGAAAAATAATAACAGATAGGTTAGCATTTTGAGTGAACTTTATATTTTAATCGTTCAAAAAGGGTCATTAAAAAGCAACGTCATGGATTTTGGAAAAAGCTTTCTTTTGGAAGTCTGAAGTAACCTTTCACAAAAAAAAAAAAAAAAAAAAAAAATAATAATAATAAAGTCCTTAATCGGGATCTTTAAAAAAATAATTTTGTTGCTCGTGAGGGCCCTTAGTCTCTTTTTCTCTGTATCTGTCTATCAAGACCTTTTATTTTATTTTACTTAACTGGATCGTTACCATATATATTTATTATATATTTATATAAAACAACGTGGTGCTCACTTAGAACTGAATAATAAACTACAAACGTATATTATTCTCCTTCTACCTTACTGTCAAAACTAAATCTAAACCAATCACTACTACTCACATTGTATCAACAAAAAAAAATAAAAAAAAAAATAATAATAAAGTCCTAAATCGGGATCTTTAAAAAAATAATTTTGTTGCTTCTGAGGGCCCTTACATTATTTAAAGTAGTACAAAAGATAGTACGACAGCAGTCACGACGGTTGCCAAAAAAAAAACTCTTTTAATCAAAAGGTAAATGCGCGGTCGGGGAATCGAACCCCGGCCCTTCGCGTGGCAGGCGAAGATTATACCACTTAACCAACCGCGCGAGGTTAATACCTGTCAAGCCCATAATTGTCGATGGTTCTGATGCTTCTCTAAGCCACATTCCGACCCGGACTCTTGAACCCGACCCGGACTCTACCATGGACGTTGAAATGCCGCTGGAGATCGAATTACGATTAAAGAAAGCTAAACTTCTAAAAAGGAAGTTTGTACCCAAGATAACCAATGCCAATAGAAAACGGCCAAAGAAGTAACACCACTTTATTATAAATATCACAACACTACTTCTACATTCAATAACCTGATTACTTATAATTATCACAATCAATCTTTATATCTATCACCATACTTTTATTATATTATCACCATACATATCAACATCATATTATCACATTATTATCACATTCTATATATCCCCCAAACTAGTATAAATAGCTCCTAGCTTTGTATCAAATAAACATTATCTTCTATTTTATATATCTTAAGTATATATCTACTTATTAACTGATTAACCACTGAGAGTTGAATCTTAACCCTATTAAACCTATTACAAGACTGATATTTGGTAGCACCAGAGTCCTAAATGACTAACAATAATTCAAACAACAATGACTACAATGCTGATATGGCTGAACTGATCAAGAGGTTCACTACTGCTATGACTGATAGCAAACAAACAAGAATCAAAGAACCTGAGGTGTACGATGGTACTCGTGATGCTCTTTTGATTGATGGCTGGGTAAGATCCATTGAGAGATTTACCACTTTTAACTCCTGGACCCCTGAACGTAGCTGTTTATATGCTACTACTTTATTGCGTGATCGTGCTGACGCTTGGTTTAGAACAATTGAACTAACTGATGAAGCCCCTACTACTTGGCTAGAACTGAAAAGATTAATTATTGAATTTTTCAGACCTGACAACTCAACAAGAATTGCGCGTGACAAACTTGCTTCTTTAAAACAGACAGGTGATTTGGTCACCTACATTAATGAATTCATGGACATTAAATTGGCTATTCCTACTATGACTGATGAAGAAGGATGCGACAAGTTTATTAGAGGATTAACAAGCAAAATGATGAGATCCCATATTCGTCAATATGATGCTGATACGTTGAAACAAGCCATTCAAGCTGCTCTCGCTTTTGACAGTGCTCAGCAAGAAGAAAATTATCCGTATATTCCCCGCTCATCCCACGTAAAAACTAGGATTGATGACCCTATGGATTTGGATGTTGCCGAAGAAATTAACTATGTTCGAAATGATAGTTACGGACGTGGAAATAACAATGGTTATTCACGTAACAACAATAACAACTTTTCTCGTGGTAACAATGGTAATTACTCTCGAAATAATGGAAACAATTATGGTCGCAACAATGGAAATTACAATTCTCGCAATGGTAACAACAACTCTAATAGTAACACTTCGTGTTATTATTGTCACAAGTCTGGTCACATCAAAAGAAACTGTCGCACTCGTTTGTCTGATATCAAGAAGTTGGATGATCAACACTCCAAGCGGGATTTTCAGTCAATGTAGTTGAAGACCAGGAAGTTCACCTACTTGACATTGATAACAATAACAATTTTCCTGAAAATAAAAACTTGATTGATTTTGACCTTTATTCCACTGATTCCACATTTTATCCTACATTAATGCCAACTAAATACAACAATAATACAGCTAATGTCGACTCTACCAACACTCCTCCACACGTGGTGATTGAAACGCTACCCATTATATATCCCAAATCTTTTATTGATGATTTACAACATCTTTCCGATTTAAATGCTATGGCTACTACTCTTCCACTCTATCCTGTTATGTACAATGGTCAAGTTTTACAAGTTCTCATTGATTCCGGCGCTAGTGAAAACTATGTCTCTCCTCATGTTATCAAATCCCTTGATAATCATCGTCTTATCCCCGTTACTGATCGTCATGTTGAAACTGCTGGTGGTATGGTATCCCAAATCAAGCACAAGGTAGAAATGATTCTCAATTTAAATGGTGTTCAAGACAAGATCACAGCCTTTGTATTCACTACTAAATTTGATTTGATCCTTGGTCGTTCTTGGTTAAAGCAGACCAGACCTTTGCCTGATTGGAACACAGATACCTGGTATTTAAATAATGGACGTGTCAAATTAACACCTTCTACAAACATAAAACGTTACTCACCTACCTCTCTTCCTAATTTAAATTATCTCATCACTCACAAACAAGCAGATCGTATTATTAAAAAAGGCGGTGAAAGCTTCCTTTTTGTTATCAAACCCGTTCACCCAGATACTGCATATTCCCTCGATAAAACCACCTATTGGAATGATTTAGTCAAAGAATTTACTGATGTTTTCAAAGACACTCTACCTGGCCTTCCACCTGATCGTGGTATTCATCATTTGATTGATACTGGTGATGCTCGACCTGTCTCTCGTCCTCCTTACAAAATGAGTCCACTCGAACTTGAAGAATTACAAAAACAATTGACCGAACTTCTGAAATTAGGACTAATCAAACCTAGCTCTTCTCCTTGGGGTGCTGGTGTATTGTTTGTTAGAAAGAAGCCTGATCCTGGATCCAATAAGCCTGGTTCACTTCGCATGTGTGTCGATTATAGATCAGTAAACAAATACACGGTTCGTAACAGTTCAAGCTTACCACGTATTGACGAATGCTTAGACAAGTTGAGTGGCGCGCGTTATTTTACCAGTTTAGATTTACGTAGTGGTTACCATCAAATTCGTATTGCTCCTGAAGATGTTCCTAAAACTGCTTTTAATACTCGTTATGGACAATTCTCATGGCTCGTTTTACCTTTTGGTTTGTGTAATGCTCCCCCGGTTTTTCAAACGTTGATGAATAGAATTCTTGGTGATTACATTGACAAGACTACCATTGTTTATCTCGATGACATTCTGATTTATAGCAAGACATTAGAAGAACACAAGATTCATGTTCGCCAGATTCTGGATGTGTTAAGAAAAGAAAAACTCATAGCCAACTTGAAAAAATGTGAGTTTTGTAAAAAGGAATTAAATTTTGTCGGTTTTAGAATTACAGAGACTGGCATATCCCCAAGCCCTGAAAAAGTACAGGTGGTACAACAATGGCCAAGAATGAAAAATGTGCAAGAAGTACGTCAGTTTATTGGTTTTGCTCAATTCTACAAAAGATTTATCAAGAACTTTGCCTCTATTGCTGCTCCTTTAACAGACCTCACCCGAGGTACAGGTATTAAAACACGACCGATAGTATGGAATAACGATTGTCAAATCAGTTTTGATAGGTTAAAGCAACTATTGTCTTCCAGTCCTGTGTTACAAGTTGTACGCATGGATAAGCCTTTCCGTATTGAAGTCGACGCTTCCGATCGTGGTTGTGGCGCAACCTTACTTCAACCTGATGATGACCCCAATTTGCCCTGGCATCCACTTTGTTTTGAATCTAAGAAATTTGCTGATTCCGAATCCAAACTTCCTGCTCAAGAAAAAGAATTATTAGGCATCTTACATGCGTTACGTACCTGGCGTTGTTATGTTGAAGGCTGTCCCAAAGGTTACACTGTTTACTCTGATCATTTGCCCTTACAGTATTTTCGATCTAAAGAAAATCCACCGAATCGATTAGTAAGATGGATCAATGAATTGGAATTGTACTCACCTGTAATTTTGTATAAACCCGGCAAAGAAAATACCGTTCCTGATATTTTGTCCCGCATGAATTTCGAATCTACCGATGCTGTTAAACCAATGGAACCTGATTATCTATACGTTACTTGGACCCAACTACCTGCTAAACTTCGAAGTGATTGGCCCATGCTATTAATCCCGGAAACACGTGAAAAGGTAAAATCTGCGGAAGTAAAAGCCATACTTGATAAAGAAGAGAAGTATTTTCATGTTACTGCTAATCAAGTATATCGTAAGATTGCTGTAGATGCAAAGACTGGTATAAAACTTGTTCCTTTTTTACCTTTTGCCCAACGTGCCGATACTGTTGCTCGATATCATGATTCTTTTGGTCATGCTGGTTACAAGACTTTGTTAAAAATGTTGATTCCCCGCTTTTGGTGGCCATCTATGCGCTTGGACATTCAACAATGGATCAGTGTTTGCCCCTCTTGTCAAGTAAACAGTCGTAAAGGTCTTGCTCATCATGATGAAATGCACCCTCTGAAAGTACCTACTGCGTTTGACCGTTGGCATCTGGATTTTTTAGATTTACCTACAACTTTGAAAGGTAATCGTTGGCTTTTGGTTGGTGTGGATTACGCCACAAATTGGTGTGTTGCTCGAGCTGTTCCTGTGGCTTCTAAAGAAGTTGTAGCTGATTTTATTTATGAAGAAATTGTCATGAATTTTGGTGTAATGTCGGAGATCTGTACAGACAGAGGCGCTAATTTTACAAGTGGTCTTGTACAAGAGTATATTAAACGGATTGGATCTAAATTCAAGTTGACATCTGCATATCATCCCCGTACTAATGCAAAAGCTGAAAGATTTAACGGTGTAATTAAACAAATGTTGCGAAAGTATACAAATGGTGCTCTTCATCGCTGGGACGATTTTGTTCATGCTGCTCT